CCTTCAAAAGTTGTGACTATGAGTCCAGCTTCCCCAGGGAAGCCTCTTCATGAGCACTTGTCGCCTGCTTTGAGGAGCCCGAAGGTGTGAAGTCACCTTAGCTTCCGCAGGTCCCCCTCATCCCTGGGAGGGGACTGAAGTGGGACATTTATGAGGTGACAATGAGACCAAGATGCCCATTGGCTGGAAATGGAGCCCCAGGCTGCGGCCCAAGCACCCCCTCCCAAGAAGTTCTTTATGGTCAGGCAGAAAGCTGAGTCCCTGCACATTTGCATGTGGTAGATTTCTCCTCTTTAAAATGATTCAATTATGAATTCGGGCATCTCTAATGTAACAGTGGGGAATTAAAATGAACTATTGTAAAAACGTACTCAGTTTCTTCCGATGAAAGGAGTGCAATACTCTGTTTGTAATTTCCCTAGGAGCTGCTTCTTCTCACTGGATTTTGCTGAGTGGCTGCAGGAGACATGACTGGTCCTGCATGGATGGGTGGGAGAGGGCAGGAGGGGTTCTTGGCCGCCCTGGGTGACTCTTGTGGAGCTGGTGGTCACCACTCTCTTGTTTCCTCACTTTCTGGCTTGTTTTGGAGGCGGCATCCTCCCTCTTGGGAAGCACATTGGCTTATCTGCCATGTGATTTGGAAATTGAGATCCGAACAGGCAGCTGTCTGCTGCCATCAGCTTTAATGGCCTGGGTGACACTGCGTGGAAGACTCTCTCTGTGTCAGTCTTAATTTGGAACCACAGTGAGTTGTCCCTTAAAAGCCAAACAAGCTAGAAATCAGAAGAAAAATATAGCAGTTGTGTAACTCAATGACTGTAATTATTAACTGGGAGCATAAAGGCCTGTGCTTTGTAGTGGACAGAAGTTGGATTGAGAAATCAACCCTGAAAGTAATCAGCATATTAAGTCAGGCAAGTTACCACTTGCAGTTATAACAGGTGAATCCACAGCACCTCATAACCCAGCAGAGGCTGAGTCCTCCTGCAGTGCCCAGTTGGGGGGTCTACGTCTGCGGTGGCACGGGAAGAGGTGCAGGTGTCATCAGAGTCTTTTTGCAAGACAGGCTGGGAGTTGAAAGCAGGGCATGGACTGGACACACACGACCTGTCCATTCCCTGAAGATGGATTTCTGCTGCTATGTTTGCTAGCCAGAAATGAAACTCCAGACTCTGATTTAGATGTAGAACTATGAAGGTGGCCTTGATGTAAGAATCATATTTCTAGGCCTGGTGTGACATAGATCAAAACCCAGTACACAGAAGACACGTGACATGGGAATTTAGAGCATTGACTTATCTTGAAAACCAGGGCTCGAAATTTGCTCATTAATAAAAAAATCCTCTCTCTCTCTCTCTCTCTGTGTATATATATTATATATAGTGTTTTTAAAAATAGTTAAAATATATAGTAGTTTAAACTAACTAGCATGTCAAACTCGAAGGCCATGTGTAATATTCAGCTGTACCAGAAGCAAACATGTTGGTTAAGAAAGAAAATCAGTGTAGATAGCAAGACCATGATCATGAGTGGTGCTCTGTGTCCCTCTGAGTCACGTCTTCCCCTGCAGAGGCCGTGGGAGGCCTTTGCTGCTGCTAAGTGTGCAAAGAGAGCATGACATCAATATTGGCAACTGCAGAGCCACACTTCACCATCCAGGGCCGCTTGGGAAGAGCTCTGTGTTCCATGAAGGGTCAGGAGGCAAAGGGTCACGTGTTCAGCCAGGACAGTTCTAAATCAGCCATGGGAATGGGCTGAACGCTGAGAGGGCAGGAGTTCAGGCTCTTCCCTGGGCCTGTCACTGGGATCTCTGCTCAGAGGCTCAGAGCAGTGGCCAAGCAGAGAGTGGCTAAAAATACCCGGTGCACTTGGAAAACTGCTTTCCGGAGGCAGCAGGGGCGAGCTGGCAGGGTGTGGGCAGCTTCGGGTGTCACCCAGATGCAAAGGTCGGCCGGCCTGGAGGGGCTTCCGGAGCAGTTTCTGCCAAGACATCCTCAGAGCTCAGGCTTGAGGGAAATGCAACTTTCAGCAGCCTTGCCGCTTGCTCCTGCCTATCAGAGACAGAGCCGAGACCCTCTTCCACTGTTACTCTGTTAAGTCTGTGTTCTGCTTGCAACTGACCACCAGGAAGGCAAGAACACCCAGCTCCAACTTGACCCTTTAGAGATTCTCTGGCAGGATTTCTGGGCCGGTTCCCTTTTTGATCCCTCCAAGTCACAAGTAGAGCACCCTGGTCCTGGGAGCTGGCTCTGTGTTTTTTGTGTCTCTCCTCTGAAGAGCGGATGGGAGCAGGAAATGTCCCTTCGTGTCTCTAGGGAGGGCCCGGGGACCGAAATTCTGCCAGATTCTTGCTTCTTATTAGTCTGATGTGGTGTGCAAGTGATTAATGACAAAACCAGCAATGAGGAAGGCATGGAACCCAGCATTTCACAGGTACTCGGGAGGCTCACGGAACTCGACTCCTCTGTAGCTAATGTGAGTTTACAAGTCCTGTCCTTCATGTAGACAGGAGGATGCTAGAGGCTGAAGTGGGTCCAGCATCTTTTCAATATTATTGTTCATGCAGCTGCTTTTATTGAGCACCTAGTATATGTTATCCATGTACATAGTCAGCCCTGTGCACAGTCCTAAGCAAGGGCACCTAGCTGGGCCATTGCTGCCGCTTGGTCTGTAAAGATGGCAAAGCTCAGGGCTGGGCTCAGCTTCTGCTCCCGCTGCTGGTCAGCAGGAAGTAGGGACTGGGACCTGGCTCTGTGAGTCCTCTCTGTTGCCTGGCTGGGCAGATGCTCTCAGCACTGCGGTACAGACAAGCTTTGTCCAGGGGCCTGCGCGACCCTCAAGGCTCTGGGCACCATTCTGGACTGGTGATTGTGCAGGTAGGATTTCAGCAAACTGAGGCTGATAAAGAGAAACTTGTGCCCTTGTGGGGTGCTCTGCAGGGCTCCCAGTGCCCTGGTCCCAGAAATAGGCACTTGAGCCAACTTGTCATTAACGATGGATATTCATGAGGGCTCGGAAGACTCAGGGGAGAACGCGGTGGCTCTGAGTGGGGCCCTAGGACCAGTGCGATCTATAGCAGGAATGTGTATTCTCAGGCCCACCAGGCCAGCAGAAGCCGGGGTGGGTTCCACTGGATGTTCTGATGCCTGGGTAAACTTGCTGAGCTATGCCCGGCTCCCCGGTTTCCTACTCCACGTCTCTGAGAGCCGCTGCACTAGCAGGCAGGTGCGGGCTGCTGATGTGAACCGTCCCCTGCTCTCCGACCCCTGGGGTCTCACTGTTCAGTGGGTAGGGAGGCTGCCTGGGTAAGTGGCTGGATGACCTCTCTGGCCTTTTCCCCACCACTCTCTGGGACAGTTGTGAGCCCTGTCTTCTGGGAGGAGGTGGCCTCACTGAGCGGAAGAGTTCAGACCTAGGCGGCTCCCTGCAGCTCATGTCACCTGCCACATCCCTGTCCTGCCCCTTACAGAGCAAGGCGGGCAGCTTCCTCCTGCCCCTCCATCTCTCCCCGGCCAGACTCTGGTCCTGGATGCTGTCATAATTGTTGACATGGCAGAGTTTCTTTCTTTCTGGAACTCGAAGCTTAAAGTGAAATAGATTTTAAAGGATTACTTCAAAGTCAGGGCTGCTCAGGGTAAATTCTGATGGGGTTGGAAGTTGGATGGAAAACGGGGGTGAGGACAAGCACCATGGTGAAGACTAGGGGCGAGGCCCACAGCTAAGGGTGGCCTCATAAAGTCACAACCCAAACTGAAGAGTCCAAAGTCACTGCCCTCCTAGTCCCTGGTCCTCTTCCCAGGGGTGAAAGTGGCCCACCGTGTGTTCTGGATCATTTAATACAGACGTGCAGATGGCTCTGCACCAAACAGCCCACTCCAGAGCCTGAACCCCATCAGCAGATGATGGTCACCTCAGTTTTCAGGGCTTTTGTGTCCTTCCGTTCTATGATTGCATTATAGCTTCCTGAGCGGCTCTCTGCTGAGAATGTGCCGGTGACTTCTAGCTATTGCTACAGTATACTTTCCCTTAAGAATATTCCTATCTCCACGTTTTGATACATATGCACAGACATATCGTTAGGGTACGATCCTAGCAGTGAGATTTTACAGAAATAAAAAAGTGTATTTAAGCTTTTAATACCTACTGACAAATTGCCACCCAATCCTCCACCAGTAGGGTGATTTATCTGGTTTTAATTATTACCAGTCTAAGTAAAGTAATTCATAACTGTTGGTTTAAATTTTGTGTCTCATTATAAATTAAATTGAAGTATATTAAAATATACTTATAAACCATTTATACTCCTGTGATATGCCTAGTTTTGCTCTTTGCCCATTTTTCTGATTGGGTTGTAATTCTTTTAAGCGATTTGTAGAAGCTCTTTGTATGGGAAGATGACAGCCTTGTCATGTGTTTATGTTACAAACACTTTTTTCTAGTTAATCCTTTGTTTTCTGCACCACTGCGCAGGGTGATCCAAGATCAGAGCTGGCGGTCCGCTCTGCTTTGGACTTTGTTCCCATGCTTACCGATGGTCAAAATAGTGCACATTTCAGCTTTGGGTGGAATAGCCAGCAATTCAGGACCCGCGTTCATTTGCACAGCTTACTCGCCCAACAAATCATTGCTTCACAGAGATGCCATTAACTAATAATTCAAGGTTGATAACCTTCAGTCAACCATGATTAAAGCACTTTTGCTGAATGGCAGGGGGAGGGCACGATTTTTTCCTGGATACAAACAGTAAAACCTGCTTACATCGCCCATCTTTTCTTTGATAAATGGCCCCTAACTAATAATTCCAGATAGATCCTAAATCAAGCATGGGGGCTGATAGGACCGGGGCAAACTCTAAAAAATTATTGAGACTATTTTATCAAAATCTATCTTCAAATG